GTTGAGAACTTCATAATTACTGTTCCTATTTCTGCATTTTTATATAAAAAATAAGCAATAACTTATGACATAAGTGAATTTTTATCTTGAGGTACCTACACAAATCATTAAAGATCAGAGAAGTCATTATGGAATTCAAATGTACAAACGACAGTGTAATTCTAATAATTTTTATGTTCACAATATACTACTTTGTTTTTCATCTTTTTTACAGGTAACTAAAATAAGACACTTATAAAAAATATTTTTTGGATTTGTCTGATGAAAAAAAAGTAAGATAACTAAAAATCGCAACTTATTTAAGAATAGTTTATACGACACTGTAATTGTGAACGAACGAAATGTATTTGTAAAATTTAATTACAAGCGTCCTGATTACCTAAAGTCTAATTAAAATTTCAGCAAAGTGGCGCGATTTCGCATTTAAATTGGTCTCGGCTAGATACGTTGCGACTTTAGAAAATTAATTATTAGAGACCTGTGTGGTTGTAATTTAAACATGAAACATTCAAAACATTGTAACAGTGTCTACAACTGGCCGAGCTGAACATTTCTAATTGACTAATCACCTTTTCTCGCTTCTTAATTACTCGACGTAAATCATCGCAAATGAATATAAATAACTTTTATAGAATTTACAGGAGGCGATCAATCTAAATCCACCTCGAAGATAAGCACTTTTTCGGATTAAAACGTCCCTTTTAATTTAATTGATTATGTAAATTTTTGGAATATATCGTATCATGATTATTTGTATNGGGTGGTCCATACGTTCGAGAATCGGATAATAGAAATGTTAGCTTTATTAAAGAGATTATGTCTTAGTTGGTGGGATTCGAAGACGATCCGTCAAGTTGAACTAATTCTCTCCGAGAGATAAGGAACCCGGAAAATCATTTTCGGATTATATTGTCCATACAGAGTGTTTCAAAATTCTTCCAACACACATAAATAACCGAACAAACAATCCAACTAATAATGAAATCAGATTTGGAGACGACATAAGGCATCAGTTAGAAAGCGAGAAATTTCCCAACGGCATTACATTAATGATATATGATGAATATTACGCACGTCATAATTCATCTTAATCTTCAAGAGTCGAAACTCGAAACTGATAAATGTTGGAATTTCGACGTCGTTTAATTTACCACTTGAGAAACGTCATCCTCGATTAAGAGTAAACAATCCGTTATCGATTTTTCCCCGGCAGGAAAATAATTTCTTTTTGACTTTTCGCCGGTTAATTTCTTATCGGGTGAGAAGTTCAATCACTGTCGAGTTAAAAAAACGCGACCCCTCTTTAATATCTCACGCTTGGACAGCTCGGTTTTCGTTCACGATTCGTTTAATCTGACCGCCTGCCAAGCCCTACACATGGAAAGTAGCGGTTTTTTTTATGTTTCAAAGGTTGACACTATTGAAAAGCGAAGCAATTCGTGTAATTGCAGAGGTCGTGTCGAGTTTTTATAATTGACGAGGAATTTTTCCGAAAAAATTACAAAGTTAAATTTTGGTGGATGCGCCGGGATATAACTTTGGATGAAATTTGGTTTAACCGAAACAAAAAAAATTCACTTAATTTAATTAAAATTTTGCTTGTCCTCCGCCTTTCCAAATATTTTTTCGCGTCTTGTTTGTTATATATCCGTGAAAAGAACCCTCCGGAAAATTGTAAATCGGAATTGTTGGTCCGTAGTATTTCCGCGCAAAAACGCATTTTCTCGCCTTAGCTCACTCTTTTGATCCAAATACGCCACCATATAAAATACATATGTTATTTTTTCGTCTGTTATTATGGTTTTCTTTGTGTATTTTCCTCGGAAAAACCGATCAATACCAGAAAATTGATAAAGTCGATCATTTGCTTTAAAACGATTAATGACTTGGAAATGATTTGATCGATGATTGAAATTTTGGTTTACTGACTCCCGATTCTAATTTTCTTTTATTCACTTTTTAATCGCAGCCATTACACCTGTGATTCATGACCGCTTAGGTTGTACAAGCAACCAGAATCTGCCATTTGCAGATAATCCTAATGTCGCGTTAACACATGATTAGGATCCCAGGTCGGGAGCTGACCTCTGACGAATTTATAGTTCGTTTGCGGTAATTCGAGTTTAAAACGGTGAAAGACGATCAATTTAGGGACATTTGTTTGCTCAAAGAGAGCTGCTTTGACCCAACAAAATCATATTTCAATAGGATTTTCAAAATTGCATTTACACCTTGCTGAATTACCAGGATTTATATACAAATTTATAATTTATTTATTAATTTAAAAAACGTAAGCGCAATCAAACATAATGTTAAGTTTTTTAAGCAAGTTTTTATTTGTTTTTAATTACCCAAACACTACATACAGGTTGTTAAAAAAAAATATTGAAAAATGTTTTAGGAGGTAATACGCTACTCCAAAAAATTTATTAAAAATAAAAAAAAATTAAAAGATTTTTTTTTGAAAATTTGTTTAAACATTCAGGAAACAATGCGACTTAATTGTTGAAACAAAATCAAAAATATTTTGAATTTTTTTTTCTCGCTCTATTACTTAGCATTGCGTGCACAGAAAAAAAAATTGCCAGATCTCAAAACTAAAAACTTAAAGCTTTAAAATGTTTTTTTTTTAATCTAGATACGACCATTTTTCGACGAGTTGCAGCCTAACAAAAATCACCAAAAAATCTACAAAAATTTTTGATCCTTTAATTTTTTGGAGTAGTGTAGTATGGATCAAAACAAATAAAAAAGTCTTAATAAACATGGGTCCGCTAGGTAACGGTTTCAGAGATATTAAAGATTATTTGTTTTTTTAAAACATTTATTTGCAATCTGCTCAAACAAGAAAGAAAACCTTCTAATAACAATTCTAAAAATTTTCACATTCGATATCTCCGAAACCGTTACTTTGCGAACCCATGTTTATCAAAACTTTTTTATTTACTTTGGTCCATACTATTGCCTCCTTATATACAGGTGTCCGAAAAATCGCGCACCTCCGTAACACAATATCGGGCGATGCTCTTGACAACAAGAAAAATGTAAAAAAATCCATCTATAAAAATATCAGTTGGAAAAATATTTTTCCAAGTTTTTTTGCTATAAGCTATTAGAAGAAGAAACAAGGAAGCTGTATTCTAAATTATTACTCTGTTTAATGTTATTTGTGGCTTTTATTAGCAAAATTTTTGAACCTTTACTACATAATTATANAATTTTTGAACCTTTACTACATAATTATAAAAAAACATAATTATACAAGATCATCAGTATCATTAAATAGACATAAAAAGTGTTTTTTGTGGTTTTTATTGGCAAAATTTTTGTAATTTTACTAAATAATTATTAAAAAAACATACAGTATGTCCCCGGATTGTGTTTACAAAAGGAAAAAAAAACTATCTTTGATTTTACACCAAAATTATTACGCCATTATTCTAACTCAGTAGAAAGAAAAGTTCATTTTTCTTTTGATTTTGGACTTGCTTCAATAATTTTTCTCTGCTTTTTAAGTCCCATCACATTGGCGGTTTTATTATTTTGACAATGATGTCAATTTGACAAATGAGTTCACGCAAGTTAAGTAACAAAAATGTTTGTCAAAAACATAATTTTAATAAACAGCAACTCAAAGAAACAGCTTTAACGTCATTTTTAACAAGAACTATCCTTATTTAATTAATAAGTTAATTGTCAAAGTGACATATAGCTGTTAAATAATTAAAACCGCCAATGTGATAAGACTTAAAAAGCAGAGAGGAATTTAAAAAAGTCCAAACTCAAGAGAAAAATGAATTTTTCTTTCTACTGAGTAAGAATAATGAATTTTCAATTACAGATTTGCTGGTTTCAAGTAAAGCAAAAACTTTTTTTCCTTTGCAGTTTCGTCGAAAAATCAAAGATAAAAAATTTTTTCCTCTTGTAAACTCAATCCGAGAACATACTGTATACATAATCATCATTATCGTTAAATAAACATAAAAAAATGTCCAACGTCAAAAAATAAATGTCAATATTCTTTGACAGATAGAATTTTTACTACCCAAGGAGGTATGCGACTTTCCGGACATTCTGTATTTTACAATCTTGTTTTAACACTTTGTATTAATAATTACCCACGAATTCAACAATTCTCCTGACTTTTGTCCCACTTATTCCAAAAACTAATTTGTACATCTCCACGTTTAATTACAATTTGCATCTAAACTTAACGTTTTTCGTCTTCAGCACTGTTTAAACGTTGCTTTTCTCTTATTGCAGCATCTTGCCGTCATTAAATTTTAATCCTGTTTTCTAAGCAGGAATTTCTATTCATCTCAGATGACACAAAAAATCCCACAGCCACTCTCAACTAAATAAAACTAATGCAAGTTTTTAATTCAATTTTTGATAAAAGCTATTTCGACAGTTGTGAAAAAAATTTGATCGAATTTATTTAAGTGCACTTTATAGTTTATGCATAAATGTTATTTAACTCAAAACGCAAAACCTGATAGATTTAAATATTAAACAACATCGAACATAAACAAATTTATTTTCATGTTATTTCATATTTCTATGTGAAACAAATATTAATGATTAAAAATTATGAGAATGACTCAAACTGTAAACTTTCGAATTTCTGATAAGTATGTCGAAAATGAAATAATCGATTGAGGTACTTGAGAGCTTTATCAGTCTATTGAATAATTGTGAGAAGTTTGCGTAAAGTTCGGTTATCTGTACTTTGAACATTCTCGCCGAAAGTTCGATAAGGTATCGTCGAATAGGAAACACACGTCAGAAAAAACACGCCCCAAGCTCCTCTCTTAATGCAAATCAGATTTGTACAACAGAGACAATTTATTGACTCGGCTCCGCCTCGGCCAATTAATTTCGTGGTCGAAAAATCAAATAAAGCACAAGACGGATTGCTCCAATAAAACTACAACACGTTTCCGTATCGAATACGAAATTAAGACAGAGACAAAACTACGCCAATTAACAAAATCACTCACCGTTAATCGTTTCTGGCGGTGTAAAGTGGGCTGATCGATGTCCTCCACTTGTTGGCTATCGACCCTAAAAAAAAATGCTGTACGACTTTTACGACAAACAGTTAAAAACATGCTGAGGTTTTATTAAAACGTTGTTGGATTGGAAACTTGGGCTTGAAATTTTTATGCAAGCTTGTAATTTTGATAATCTTGTAAAATTAAGATTTTGGATGAGATTAGCTAACGAGATAATGATGGGGCTTGTTTCAATATGGATTTTATAGGAGATTCTTGTTTAACGAACGAATTATTTCCAGGAGAAACGAAACTTACAACAAAAATTTTTGTTCGGAAAAATAATGATGAAGTAATAATAATAATACATTAAAAATTTTTAGTTAGTTTTGTGTTAATGATAATATTATTAGTGTTCCAAGACTGGAAAAACATGTGTTTGATGTATTTTCCTTCAAAAACAATCGCACCTTTTTCTTTTACCTATCCCCCTCAGTAACTTATTTTATTAGAAATATAAAAAGGAGTTATCTTAGTAAAGTTGTAAATCTGCGACATTAAATGCGAAAGCAAAGTTTTCCGTTGCAGCAGCACTTTTGCTCAAGTTTTCGGCGATTTTACGGCGTTTTTTTTTTCAAAAGTTTTTCACGTAAGCCAGGTCGAGATAATCTATAACTTGGTGCTTTTTTTCAATTTGCAAAGGCGAGTCTTTTGTTGTTTTTGTCGGCGGTAATTGGAGTTTAGAAAATGCCAAAAAGATAAAAATTTTATGATCATGACGTATATAAACATCATTTTATATTAGGAAGTTTTAGGCAATGCAAAAGCCGCGCTTTATTATTCTACTCGAGCAAATCTTGTCAAAAAATTTAGTTTTTTAAATAAATTCAATGGAATGATTATATAATTTTTGTTTTAAAACAAAAAGCAGAAATAATTTTAATAAAAGCTTTGGATTTTTTGAGCTAATTAGAGAGCACAAAATAGTTATTATTCGAATAAAAGTGCATTTGTTTTTATTGCCTGTTTTTAAATGACATGAAAACGTAATTATTTCATTAAACTATATATTTCAAAGTGCTGAATATAAAATATTATATTTTTGATTAAAACTTTCTTTTTATTTTTAGTTGGAAAATAATTTCGGGAAAGCTGTCATGTAGCGATTTTTCCCATTTTTTTAGTTTGACATGTGCTGATTTCGAAACATTCCAACCACTGCCATTCGTTATTAGGATTGACACACTTTTCGCTTAAATCCATCTCAGGCAAAGAAAAAAGCTTCGAGCAAAGCTTTCGGAGTATGGCACGGGTTATTTCAACTGTCCCGTCAAGGAAGAGCTTTGATAAATTACTCTTAAAAAATAAATTTTCTTCACATCGGCGTGATGTAACATTGATATATCTCGTCCGATTCCGGACCGAAACTTTTTCCCACTAAACTTTTCTCTCACACGCTTTGTATTGTCTGATGGTTTTGTTATTCATAGAAAAAAAGAAAAACTAAAATTGAGGCGACGAAAAGCAAATCATCGAGAGGGAAAAATGCAAAGCTTAAGAGGAGCCACGACGAACTTGTCGACAAATACAAAGCCTTTTTACAAAGTAAATAAACCTTAAAAACGAATATACTGATCGTTTGGCGGTTTTCTTGACCAATATTAACACACTTAGTGGCATTTAGATGCGTATTATTTGGAGAAACCAGTTTTTAAAAAAGTTTTATCTAGATGTATAAAAAGTATGGAACCAAACGTTTTTTGCATAAACTATTTATTTTTTTGGAAAAACTAATTGATGAATCATAAAGTACTATAAAAATGTAATGTTTAATCGAATTTTTTTTTTCTTTTTGAGTTTTACAATTTTTTAATTTTTTTTAGATGGCAATCCATTATAATACATTTTTTCTCATGAAGGTTATGATCTAAAGATTACAAGTATCTATTTGATATTTAATTTAAAAAAATGAACATAAGTAAAAACGAATCAAAATTTCGTTCTCAAAATACGATCACATTTTTTATATTACCTTGATTTTTTTAATTATTATTTTCTGGAGGCGAAAAAAACGCTTAAGTTCCATACTTTATAATCACACTTTATATTTGACATATTTTTGAATGTTTTGACAAGATGTTGGATTTTTAAAGTTACACAGTGTAGGTAATAATTAAAATTTATTAAAAATTAATTAATTAAATTAATAATCATTAAAACACACTGTTTATTTTAACCAAAACTATTTATACAGGATGTGTCAGAACTCGCGCCTCAGAGAAAAGTTTCAAGTAAGATACCAGATACCAGAAATGGAAAAAATGTTTAAAAAATTCTACAACAAATTTTGAGATTTATTTTTTGACATTTGACATTTTTTTATGTAATTTAAAGATTTTGCATATGTTTTTTCTTATAATTATTTAGTAAAAGTAGAAAAATTTTGCCACTAAAAGCCCAAATAACACTAAACAGAATTACAATTTAGGATACAGCTTCCTTGTTTCCTCTTGTAAAAACTTGTAAAATTATTTTTTCAAACTGCAAAATTTAAACTTTCACATAGCATTTTTTTCTGAGCGCAAGTTCTGGCGCAGTTTGTATATAAATTTTTATAAACCTAATACCTAAAACAAAGTCTATTTGAATATTAAACAACATAGGAAAATAATCAGATTAAATCTAATAATAACATTATGTTATTATGTTGTGTTTATTTAGGATGGTATTACGTAAATAAATTTATTTATAACAAATACTGACGGCAAAATGTGAAACATTTTTGTACAAGTTGCGAAGCTGAATCTTGATTAATTTTTCGAATTGAATTATTTTTTGCTAAATGAGTAATTAAATGTTGAGCCATTTCCATCTTTGTTTTATTGTCCCAATCACTTAAATGGACCGAATCGGAACAAATTAAATCAATTTTGCATTAGACTCGTCTCCAACACAAATGACATTTTGAATCACATTTCATCCAATCCATTGACTTCAAATTAAACAAACATCCATTCATCTTCTACTTCGCTCTCAATTCAAAAATTACATTAAAAAAAAAAACAACAAATGCGCATCTGCCATTAGTTTTAATTAATTTACACTGCAATTTATTTTTTTTTCAAAAATAGCCACGAATTCAATTCATTAAATTGAAAGAGTAAATTGATCTCGACTCTTAACATATTTGGCTTTATGCGAGGTAATAATTGTCCTTTTCAATTTTCAATACGTTCAACAGAATTGGTTGTTCTGTAAAGCTGTTTATGGTTTACGACCGGCTGTTAAACCCCTATTACTGACCGAAAAGTCCGCTTAAAATCCGAATTGATGTTCGGATCACTATCAAAAAATGGACAGAAATGACACAAGAAAGGTTCTAACTGAAATAACGATAAAATAATGATAAAAAATTCAGGGGAAGAAAACAATGAACACAATCGCCTGAAAAAGTAGTTTTTTTGAAAAAATGTTGTATTTTCAGTCAACCAATTAACTTTGCCACCGTTTGGATCTTTGCAATTTGTATCCATATGGGAGTAAAAAATTAATTGCTTCAGTCAAGTTAAAAATAGACATTTTTTGCGTTCCTGCATAAATGAATTTACTTTATAATAAAATAAAATGAGACAATGTATTAAAATATCTTGTCTCTAAGGGTTTCAGTTAGTAATAAGATAATTTATTTTTTGTTTCCAATTTAAAGAACACAAAAATTTATCTGTTCGAGAAATTCTCTCAATGCCGCAAACATCACTTTCCCTTATTGTCTTCCAATTGGAATATTTCATCGTTCCGTTAAAACAACAAATTAATTATACGAAACAATAGTCCGAAGCCTTGAAAACAATCGAAAGCAAAACTCAGCTCATGTTTTCTACTTCTGCGAACCGAAGACAAATTACTCATTCTCTTCCATTCTAATCACGGAATAAATATAATAACAGTCTCTCATTTAACACAAAGTGCATAGAATATCAGTCTAAAATTTCCCACAAAGCTGGTCTCTTCTATTCTCGCATTAAGCTCAATCATTTTTCACTAAGCAATCCGTTTGTAACCAAGCGGCCATTGTTGTGGCCTAAAACTACCCATTGTGGTACTTTCAACTTAGCCCGCTCATTACCCAAATTCTCTTTCAATCAAATCTTCTAATTATGTAATAGTTATAATTCCGGGTGACCTATTTCCGGACAAAAAGGGCTCTAATCGAAAACAAACGACCCGCATGCGACACACGCATGCAAATATTTATGGACTAGTTTTTTCAACCTAATGGCGCCTGAAATTAAAACGGCGTTTATTCTGGTTCAATTCGGGCGTTTTTGCATAAAATTAAACAAGTTTAAGTCGCTGTTCAAGTTCTTTAAAGCAAATTTCCTTTGCATACGCGTAATATCCTTGGAAAGAAGAATTTTCCGGCTTTGTTAGAGGTTGACTCGATAGCTTAAGGCGAGAATGTACGAAGATGCTTTATGTGTGGGAAATCGAAGTTCTGAATTGCAGCGTCATAAAAACGCAGAAAATTGTGTTAAAGGAAGAGGAAAATATTTATATTTTTATGCAGTTACATAGAAATATACATGAAAAGTAAACAAATTCTAAAATCTTTGATATCGAAAATAAAAAATCAAAATTTCAAACATTTGATTAAAATGAGAAAATAAACAATTTTTTATTATTAAAAAAAACTATTTCAAACTGTT